TCGGCTGCATGTGGGTGTACGTCTCTCTCTCTCTCTCTCTCTCTCTCTCTCTCTCTCTCTCTCTCTCTCTCTCTCCTCTTTGCATCACTGAAAGTGCGTCGCTCGAGTCACGTGACACCGGCGGGAATTGTTTCGTCATCTGTTTTGTCTTTGAAAACGAAATTATAAATAAGTAATACTCGTTCCACGTCGGTCGATCGCGTCATTTGGGGGTGGGATGGGGGAGGGATAGTTTATCTGTGATGATGCTGTGACCTTTCGACGGACCGGGGGGTCTTGCTGCCAACCCTTCCCTCTGCTTCCCTCCGGCCAGAAGACGCCACCGCTGCGGGGTACGGGACACCCGTCTCCGTCCGATCGTGTCACGAATTGAATCCGCTCGGCCAAGCGGAAAGTTTCACGTCCCAGTCCCCTGTAGGAACCTGTGGCCTCTTTTGGTGTGGAAAGTTCGGCCTCATTATTTTATGCCAACATTGGCGGACTCGTCATATAAGCAATTCTTTATGACACCAATGTTTGGGATACTTTATTTCGGCGACTAACTAAATTTTGGCATGACAAGTGGCTGGCGATTTTATCGTTGCATATCTATTATGAACCGACAACATATTACGGCACGGTATCGTGCGTCGCGGCATTTTCGTCCCCTAAAGTTGTCTTATACTTTTTGCACAAAACATTGCCTTGCATTTTTAGATACAATGACATCGTTTTCTTACCGGACTTGACAACGCAGGGATTTTTTCGCAAGCGCAACGTGTATAGAAGACTAAGTGAGTGGTTGCAATGCGGATAAAATTGTCTGTATCACTATATAGAAACCGAAACAAACCTTGATCCACAGGATGTTGTTTTCTACATTTATTTTCACTTGTCTTGCAAATCGAGCCGGTTTTGGTTGAAATGGGAATGAAATTAATTGAATCCCACTTACTTCACCCACGTGCACAACAGCTTACTTTGTGCCTCTATTGGGCTAGCACACACCTGTCCGAAAGCAAGTCCGCGCGAGTCGCGGGAGCGTGGGGTATAACGCGTGTGTTTGGCGCGCGGCCTGGGTTGGGCGTGCGGCCACGAGGGGGCGCTGGCGGCGAGCGCCGTACCGCTCCGCGCTGCCGCCGCTCCAGTCCGACTCGAGTCGAGCCGGAGGGAGGCAGCGCGGCCGGGAGCCGAGTCCGGACCTACCGCGACCAGCCGCGACCGAATCGGGTGCCGGGTCGAGGCCAGCAGAATGCGGACCTGGTGGAGTGCGAAGCGCGTCCGAGATCGAGATCGAGAATCGTGTCGGCCTCCCCCGCCGGCGTAGCCGCGCAGGAGATAAGACCTCGACGACGAGTCACGCCGCATTTCGGAAGCAGGTGCTTAAAGCCAGCCGGGAGAGGAGCGGGAGGAGGCACGATAGACGATGCATAATTGATCCGACTTTAGGACCACTCTGACATGACAAATGCAGCTCCCCCCCACTTACCCCCCGTCTGACCGTTCCACTTCCACGTCGGATAGGGGACGTCAGGTGGGGATGTGGGAGAGGAGGGGGAGGAAGGAGGAGGGC